AGAGCATCCCCCACCATTGTAGCCTGCCTACCTAATGTTTTCATATACATATTGAGAAAATGCCTTGACTTATAACTTTCTTTGTTCTTTTGCTATAAAATTTCTTGAGGGTCATTGAGATGGTTCTGGGTAAAGAAACTTACTTGCACCAAGCCTGAGAACCTGAATTCTATGCCTGGATCTGTTGTGCAGAAACCACCAAGGAAAAGTACTTGGACATGGGTTTGAGAGGATAGACAATCATTATTAGTGGACCAGTGACTATCCTGTGTGTTCAGGATCCCAGTGTCGCCCCAAGCTTTTCTCAGGGTGAGCTTTAAAGCACAAAAAATTCTATTCTGAGTTGATATACTTGTTAACGAGAACAGTTAGTCAGAAGTGGAACTACCACAGCCAAAAAGTACAATTTGACACTTTCCCAGAACTGTGGACTTTGCTGGGTTAGGCCTTTGTTTTAGTTTTGGGAGGTGGTGCTGCATATGTGCTGAGTTTTACATCATCCATCCAAGTGACTTCCATCGTGGAGTCACTTGTGCTAAGGTCTGGGGGCCTGTTACGGATTTATAGCAGAGAGAGCACCGTCTCCCACAAGTCATCCACAGACTTCCACATCCCCTTGCTATAGCACTCATGTTCTTATGGATGTGTGTGGAAGTCTGTTTTTAAGGTTGACGTCTGTCATTTCCAGATAGCCAACTGGGCTCAGTCTATTACAGATGACTCCCCTTTTCAGCGGGGCTCTCTCTCCACCTGATCTGGTAACCCTAGATCTTATAAGGAGCATCACATAGCCCTCAGGGAAGATTACAGGCCAGCCCCTTTCCTGATTAAAAAAAAAAAAAAAAATTAGCAAGCACCTGTGAATTCCTGGAAACAGTCCACCCTTCTAAGGAGATCTTAGTTTTCAGCAATGATCTTCAATTGTACTTGGAGGTTTTCCGCCCCCCATGGGATAATGCATCCCTGGCACCTCTGACCCCAGCAAATCAAACACAGCCGTCCTTGAAACCTCTCCCACTGCCCAAGGTTTATAAATCCCTGATTTCAAATAAATGTGTTGGGTACCTCATGCTTCGTGATACCATCAGCCACCCGAGAGTCATCAGTTATTCTGGGGGAGGGTACATTCCCCTCCTCTCTGGAGAGTCACTGCTGGACATTGGAGTGAGGCAGCCACCCACCCAGGCCCCAGCAAGCTTCCGGACTGCCTGGGGCTTGACTGCCAGTAGGCCGGCCACATGCTGCCGGCTGCAGAGGGCGTCCCTTATCAGCAGGAAGTAGCCTAACAATATTGACACCCCCTTTCCCTTCTAACCTTCTTTCTCTCCCACCTAGTGTTAGGGGGTTGGAAGGGCTAGAGGTAGTTAGTGTAGGGAGGTAGATAAAACACACACACACACACAGGGGGATGGAGAGATGACTCAGAGGTTAAGAGCACTGGCTGTTCTTCCAAAGGTCCTGAATTCTATTGCCAGCAACCACATGTTGGCTCATAACCATCTGTAATGAGATCTGCTGCCATCTTCTGGTGTGTAGGCACACATACAGGCAGAATACTGTATAAATAATAAGTAAATAAATAGTAAATGAATCTTCAGAAGAAAAAAAATAACAATGAAGTAGCCAAAAGGTCCTTCTACAAATAAATTATTAATTAAAAACAACTTTATGAAGCTGGTATCATGTTGGAACATGGTATTTGTAATAACCTAAGTTGTGTTTCAGGGCCATAGTCACCTGTATTTGGTACCAAAATAAACTCTTAGGCCCCTTGAAGTGAGGGCTGTGTTTTATGTTGATACGTAGTTTAAATTCTTAGGATAAAGACGTGAAGGAGTGCAGGGTCCACTGTGCTCCCCGCCCCCACTCTGACTTGCCTCAGGTCTTTATCCAAAGAATTTAAACTACATACCACTCATTGGTTAGTCACAATCGGTTGTTCATACAATTGTGGTTATCCATAACAAAGCAGGCGGGTACAGCGATGCAGGATGAAATCCCAGCCCTCTGGAGGTGGGGGCGGGTGAAGCAGGAGTTCAAGGGTACATAGGGAGACTTTTTAAAAAACTAAGTCAAAAAAATGGGGTAAAAAAAATTAGCGGTGAAGGATAGGCTAATGAAGGGAAAATATTCATGTATTTTCTGGGAATGTCAGAGATTCTCTTGAAATTGAACACCACCCCTTTTCACAGTTATTTTTGGTACCAGTCATGGCAGTCTTCAACTGTCCTGGTACACTTGGGGGCATGTCATTTAACATGGAAGTAGGATTATAATGAAGTTAGAGGTGGTCATTCTGGTAGTCACATTAGTTAGATTCAACCATTTCCTGCCCGCAAACATTCTGAACCTATCTCAATACGAATAAACAGTAGACAAGACATTCAACTAGGTCAGGTAAGCAGTTCTTGAGAATAGGATTGTTAAACCAGGGCTGGTGGCAAAGACCTGTAATTGCACCTTGGAAAGCTGAGGCTGGAGGACTGCAATTTGCCTGTGCAACTTAGTGAGAGTCTGTCTCAAAAATAAAAGGAAAAGGATCAAGGATATACATTTCTAAAATAAGTGACCAACGCTCAGGAGGCAGAGGCAGAAAGATCTCTGTGAGTCTGAGGCCACCCTGGTCTAGAGTGAGTTTTGGCCTTGACAGGGGGTAGGGATGTAGCTCAGTGGTTGTGTGCACATTCACCTAACATGCATGAAACTCTGGTTTCAATACCCAGCACCCCAAGCTGGATGTGGAGGCACACACCTTTAATCCCACCCCTTGGGAGGCAGAGGAAGGCGGATCTCTGTGAGTGCCAAGCCAGTCTGGTCCACAAAGGGAGTTTCAGGACAGCCAGGGATATTACATATAGAAACCCTGTCTCAAAAAACCAAATATAAATACATAAAATACACACACACACACACACACAAAATAGTATGGTAAACTTCAGGCAAATTGTTTTGGAGCCAATGTGGAATTTGGGCAAGAGGAAGAACAAAATATTGGTTGCAGAGTGATCAGTGAAGACGGAAGAGAGGAACATGTATTTCTGATAAATGACAGCCTAGTGACTGGAGATGAAGTCATAGAGAATTTGGGGCTTCATCTTGGTGATGCAATCAACAGATCCTTGCTTTTGTTTTGCTGGTTTTTCGTGTTTGAGGTGAGGTCTCAATAGGTAGTCCTGTGGCTCACAACGTAAATGAGAGGAGCTCTGACTTCACAGCCCCTTTGTGTCCATATTCTAACTGCTACAGGTCCCATTCGCCGTTAAATGGTTGGAGTGGGATGGGGTCAGTGGTAGAGCTACCTAACACACATACACCTACACACATGCCTCAGTCCAGGCCCAGAACTGAAGAGAGGAAATGGGTTTGTGGAGGAAGGTGTGAGATCACCAAAGGTTAGTTATGTGAAACTTTTTGGAATTCAGTGTAAAGGTAAAAACTGGAGAGTATTCATCTGCTATGTAGGCTTAGGCAGCAGGTAACCAAGGCAAGGAGATGAACAGAGATGAACAGAGATGAACAGAGATGAACAGAGGAGAGACACAACGAAGAGCAAATTCTGGAAACATTAATATTTCAGAATTGGTAAAAGGAGCAGATGAGCAGGAGACACCAAAGATAATGTGTAGACAGCTAGCAGGTGGGAATGAAGCAACTATCACCACCGTAGGCTTTGGAGAAGCTGTACTGGCCACTTACAGGGACACCTTAGCAGGGACAGCTTCAGAATAGAACACAATGGTCACGGGTACCAATTCCAAATTCGCTTTTCTGGGCCAGGTTTGTGAGTGTAGATATGAAGCTATGTCAGCAGAGGGCGCTAGAGAGGCTCAGCAAGGGGAAAGGATTGTTCCCTAGTTCTGAGGGATTACTGGGCTATGTGGCTTTCTCCAGCACGCTCAGTCCACAGCTTCTCAGAGTGCCTTCAACACCCACTGCTGCAATTTTATAGAATGCCTTTTTATTTTTCAATTTTTTTTTTCTTTTTGGAGAAAGGCAGCCCTTTGTCTGGCTGTCCTGGAGTTCAGTATATAGACAAAGCTGGCCTCAAACTCCAAGGTGAGACACTTGCTGTGAATAGCTTTCTCCCAGTACTTTAGACCTGGAGTCAGGAAACCTTTCCTGTCAAGGCTGAGACATCACTTAGCGTTGCACCGGTATCACACAGCACAAATGAACCATTGTAGCCATTTCATAAAGGTCTGTCTACACTTTATAACGTTCACGTCAAGTGGCATTCTTCTGGTTTTTCTCTGAAACATTTAAGAACACAGAGGTTTTAGTCACTTTTCTGTCAACATACAGAGGGAAGGGCCTACTGTGGCTCAAGTCCAACACGGTGGCAGGAACGGGGCAGCTGATCACATCAGTTGTGAGGGTTTTGACTGCTGCTGCACAGCCCGTTTTCCATGTGTACAGATTCAGAGTAAGGCTGTGTTTCTGTACAGTTCTACACAAAAGGTTCTTTCGCATCCTATGCTCTGTACTCACAAGAAGCTCCAGCTTGTGGTAAGCGTGTTTTATATCTTCTAGTGGTGCAAGCTACCCAGGGCTTCTCACATGCTAAGTACATACCACCACTGAACCCACCACCACCCCAACCAACCCCACTACCCCAGGTCCCAGAATGTTACTGATGTCCAAGGCCTCACTGTGTAGCCTGGAATCTGTCTATATAGCCTGTGCTATCCTCAAAACCAGTCATGCCTTAGTCTCCCAAGTGTTGAAATTACAGGCCTGAGCCACAACACAAGACTTATCAGAGATTTTTATGTTTGTTTTTTATTTCTTTCAGATGAGGTCTCGGATAGCCAGATAGCCAAGGCCAGCCATTGCCGAACTACATACATAGCAGAGGGTACCCCAAAAACCCAAATCCTCCTACATTACCTCCCAAGAGCTAGAATTACATGTTGTGCTCCTTGGAGGTACCAGAGCATTTAAACATCTATTACCTTATATATGTATATGCTAGAAAATTTGATTCAAACAAACTAAAAAACTCAGTTTAAAAATGTTTTATTTCATTACAAAAAGTTTATTATGTACAATACTCAGGTATGTAGAAAGGCAGCTTTAATCACAAAATGAGACTAGTCATCATCTTCTACTGTGGAATTTTTGTGGCCCACACTCTTCAATATCAAGCATAAATTATCTTAACTTTGCAGGCTAAGTTCTGAGTTCCACACCGGACCTGCATACATAAGACATTTCTCTAATTTAAGATTGCTAATGCCAATGTCAAGCTGCATGTATTTATGAGTACAAATTTCACTGTTACAAATATGTGACGTTAACTAACAAAACAGTAACCCTTTAAAGGTCTTCTTGTCTCGTGTCGATACATTTACAGTCTGAGTTCTTCTGCCAGTTGCCTCTCTGCTGGTTCCATCCTCAATCACGGAGGTTAGGCATTGAGCTCTCTGTGTATCTCACCCATCTCCTTTATCTGCAATAAAGCATGCACGAAAATGGAGGAAACCTTCAATTCTTTGTTTTGTTTTTTGGTGTTTCAAGACAATGTCCTGTTGGAAGGACCCTGTTTGGGGTTGCAGTCCTCCCAGTCCAGACAGCCATTCTGAAGGTGCAGGACCCCCTCTCCCCAGCAGGGCCTCCTGCTCTCTGCCTGACTTCATCTGGAGAGTGTCTCTAGACATAGATGCCCCTAACCACATTTGATATATGGCCTTTGGCACAGCTCCCTGCTAGCTCTCCCCTCCCTGCACCAATAGGATAATTGGGTACTGTGTTCCTGTTTATATGATAGGAGCATGCTGTTCAATGCAAATCAAGCATCCTTGAAGCGCTTAGTTTTAACCAATTACGCACACCTATCCTTGGAGCCCCCACCCACTCCCCAAGGGGTATACAGCCTTTGTTCTCTGGAATTAAAGTTGAACTAGCTCCATGAAGTGGTTCCTGGAGTGTTTGATCTCTGTTGTGCTCACAGCCTTCCAAGCTCTGTGCCTGTCGCGCACCACCACGCCTGGCTTAAATGATTGTTAAATTGTTTTAGACACAGAAACTCAGGTCAGCAGGATTCTACAAGACTCTACATATGTTGAAGCTAAAGCCAAGTTTCTACACAGCTTGTCTAAGCAGCAAAAAGCAGTAATGGACTGTGGAGAGACTCAGATTTAGGTAAAAGCTCATCCGAAGACTGTCCCTAAGACTGTAAAGTCTATAGAGCGAAGGACTTCAGTGTACCCATGCTCTGTCTTGGAAGGGACAGTGGTTACTTAAAGTAAGAACTCAACATAGCGCTTTCTCCACTTACCTCAGCCTTCTCATATTTTGCTGATTTCTTCCTTGTAGAAATAACCTGGAAAAAAAACAATTACTATTACTACTCAAACGAAAGTGGCCAAAATTAACATATGTGCTTTTTGAACAGATGTAAACACATGTGTACAAGTTTGGGGGTCTAAGAACTGGTCATATAGTACCAATTCTTTGAACAGCTATATCAACACCATAGGCACCTTCTGAAGCAAAAGTTTTAACTGAACAGAGAAATACCCCATATAGTCATTTATCCTCCATTCTCCAGATAATGAATACTCAGGTTACCCTTACAGATAACAAACATCAACACATAACCCTGAATATGCTTCTTGGTTTTTGTTGGTTGGTTCTTTCTTATTATTTTTATTTTATGTACACTTGGGTTTTGCCTGCATGCATGTCAATGTGAGTGTGAGATCGTGGAGTTACGGATGGTTGTGAGCTGCCAGGTGGGGGCTAAGAATTGAACCTGGGTTCTCTGGAAGAGCAGCCAGGCCCACGGTTGGTTAGTTCTTTAGAAACAGGCTCTTACTGCATAGTCCTAGCTGGCCTGGGACTCACTCTGGAGACTAGGCTGGTCTCAAACTCTGCTCTGCCTCTGTGGTGCTGGGATTAAAAGCAGGTGCTACCACATTCAATCAAGCTTCTTTACCAAAACTTCTGCTATGGTTTCTATGTGACAATTAGATTTCTGTCTGTTCTGTTTGCCACCTGACATTCCTCTTCTATAAACCATCTATCTTTTATTGAGGGGAGAGACCTGTTGTTTTAAGACAGGACTCTGCTTTTTATTTCTATTTTGTGTGTGTGTGTGTGTGTGTGTGTGTGTGTGTGTGTGTGTGTGTGAAAATGTGCTCATGCTCACATGTGTGTGGAGGAAGGAGAACAAGTCTCAGGGATCAGTTCTCGTTGCCACCAGTGTAGGGAAAAGTATAGACTCAGGAGCCCCAAGACCAAGTTCTCAGCACAAAGGAGATTGATTTATTTGCTCCAGAGGGACAGAGAGCAGAAAATAAAGAGACAAAGACAGCAGATAGCGGGAGAGGGAGAAGGGCACGAGGGAGAGGGAGAAAAGGGGCAAGGAGAGGGATGAGGGATACAAAGGACTGCCTTTAGATAGAGAGGAGACAGACATGGCCTATAGAAAAATGGCAGTTTATAAAGGTAAAGGAGGAAACCTGTGTCAGGACAAAGTGTTTAATTTTTACTTGGGCATGCTAATTAGGTTGAGTCAAAGAGAGCTTTTGATTGTCCAGATACTCTGATATCTGGATCTTGGTAATCAGCCTCAAGAGGAGGAAGTGGCCAAATAGGAAATAGACCTTGGTAGCTTTAACAAGGCAGAGGGAATGGGGGAAGGGCAAGGCCTACCAGAGCCAGGCCCACCATGCTCCAGCTAGCTGGAGTCCCTTCAACCAGGCCTGAGCGTAAGTGATCTGCCTGTTGCCAGCCCTGTTGTCATTCTTTTTGTAGGTTTATTCATCAGCTTGTAAGAATTCTTTACATGTTATGCATAATATCATTTTTATTTTATACATCATCAATATTTCCCCAGCTTGTTTTTCTTTTTCTTCTTTCTTTCTTTTCTTTCTTTCTTTCCTTCCTTCTTTCTTTTTTGGTTGTTGTTTTGTTTTTTGAGACAGGGTTTTTCTGTGTAGCCCTGCCTGTCCTGGACTCACTTTGTAGACCAGGCTGGCCTCGAACTCGCAGAGATCCTCCTGCCTGCCTCCCAGAGTGCTGGGATTACAGATGTGCACCACTGCACTTAGCTTTATTTCTATTTTTTACTTTATATTATCTTTGCCATGAAAATGTAATTTTTTTCTTTTGATGGAAGCCTAAAGCAACCAAACTCTCAATCCTCCTGCCTCAGGTTTTAGAGTTAGGACTTAGGACTGCAGGTATGAGCCACTAAGCCCATCTCAAAATGCTAAAATGTTTAATTTTAGTTGGGCATAGCAGCACATGCCTATAGTTCCAGCATCATAGGATGAGCAGTTGAACATAGGAATTCAACACCAGCCTGGGAAGAAAACACACACATGCTCAGAGCTTGCTGGCTGGCAAGCCAGTCTAACTGAAACATTGAATTCCAAGTTCAGTGAGAAATCTCAAAAATAAAGGTGGTTCAAGGCCAGTCTGGTCAACATGGTGAGTTCCAGGATAGCCAGGGCTATGTAAATAATTGAAAATAAATAAATAAAAATAGTAAAATAAAAAGATGGAGAGGCACACAGAAGACTCCCAATGTTGACCTCTGGCCTCCATACACAACCATGGCACACATGGGCAGTATACTCACAAACTCTTTTACACACAGTCACATACCATGAACACTATAACACACAAACAACAAAAACCGTGCTGGGGAGAAGCTAAAGTAATTCCAGCACAAACAATAGGACTAGAGTTCAGATCCCCAGAACCCACAAAAATGCAGGGTAAGTGTGAAAACAGACCTGAAATTCAGGCAAACTAGAAGGCAAAGATGAGATCCCCAGCCTTCGAGCAAGCTGGCTGGCCACCCTCACCATATCAGCCTGCTCTGGGTTTGATTGAGAGAGCCTGCCTTAAAGAGTAAAGCAGAAAGCCATTAACCCTGGGCCTCCATGCGCATTGGAATTCACGTGCATGGGCATTTGCACACAAATGTATCCCCACACATACACGCAAGCATACCACATACACAAACATGTAAGAAAGTAAATAAACAAGCAAATAAATAAAGGGTGTTTTCCTCTTGAAGCTCCTCCTACACTCAGAAGTTTTTCTCATTTTTTCTTTGTCTATGTTTCCACTGCTAAAAACAAAAATAAAACTGATATAAAAATTCACACACACACACACAGAGACTCACAGAAAAGGTCAGGTGTTAAGCTCACATCCTTAGGAGGCTGAGGCTTAAGAGTTTGAAGCTAACCAGAGCTACAGAGTTCAAAAAAGAGGGTGGGTGTAATGGTTAAATGAGAATGGCTCTCAAAGGCTCATATATTTGAAAGCTTGGTCCAAAGTTGGTGGAACTGTCTGATTGGGAAGGATTAGGAGGTATATCTCTATGCTTTGAGGTTTCAGAAGCCTCTGTTGTTCCCCGTTCTCTCTCTCTCTGCCTCGTGCTTGTGGATCAGATGTAAGCTCTCAGTTACTCTTCCTGCCTACTACAGTGCTCCGTACCATGATGGTCATGAACTTTAACTCTCTGGAACTTACAGGCGCCCCCAATAAACTCTTTCTTTGTAGGAGTTGCCATGGTCAGTGTTTTGTCATGCCAATAAAAAAGTAAGACAGTGCCGGGTGTGGTAGTCCACTCTTGTAACCCCAGCATTCTGGAAGCAGAAGCAGGCGCATCTCTGTGAGTTTGAGGCCAGCCTGGTCTACAAAGCGAGGACATCCAATGCCACACAGAGAAACCTTGTGTCAAAAAACAAAAGGACAGGAATGCTTGGATAGCTCAGTGGTAAGCGCTTGTCTAGCATGTCAGGCCCTAAAATCTAATCCCTAGGACCACAAAAATAAAGATAAATTTATATATTAATACATCCTTTTATAGAGTTTTATTTCATTTTTTTAAGACAGGGTTTCTTTCTCTGGGTGTCCCTGGCTGTCCTAGAACTCACTTTGCAGACCAGGATGGCTTCAAACTCATAGAGATCTGCCTGCCTCTGCCTCCCTAAGTGCTGGGATCACAAGCATGTGCTACCACATCTGGCTTCCCTTTATAGATTGCTTGCACCACACGGTTTCTCTTACTGCACTCTTAACTAATCTCTTCTGAAGTTATCTTCTTACATTGTACGCAGTCATTCATCTGGAATTCATGTTAGAACACAAGTGAATTGCCCAACTCTCTCCATGTTCCCTCACTCTGCGTGCCTGCCCCATGCACTTGGGTAACTCGGTCAACCCTGACAGGTATAAATAATATAGGCACTCAATGTTTGTGTTTATCAGATGGGAACCAGGTGTGGTAACAACACTGGACTGAAAATCAAGTCTCCACACACCTTTAAATCTATCTTTTTTCTTTATTTGGGTTTTCTGAGATAATGTCTTGCTATGTAACTCCAGCTGGCCTTAACATCTTTTTGTTTATTCTCCCCCAAGATTTGTCTGTTTTATTTTGTGTTTTTGGGACAGGGTTTCTCTGTGTAGCTGTGGCTCACTTTGTAGACTAGGCTGGCTTCAAACTCAAAGATCCATCCATCTGCCTCTGCCTCCCAAGCACTAGGATTAAAGGTGTGCGCCACCAGCGACACGCTCCCTCAAGATTTTTATTGATTTTGTTCTCTGTACAAGTGTGCTTGGTACCTATGGAGAACAGAAAGTGTCAAGTCCTTGGAACCTCGTTCCAGATGGTTGTGAAATCCCATGTGGGTTCTGGGAACCAAATCCGGGTCCTCTCCAAGAGCAACAAGTGTTCTTCACCACTGACGCCGTCCCTCCAGCCCCTGGCTTTAAAGCCTTGATTCTCCTGCCTCAGCTTCTCAGGGGTTTGGAATACAGAAGTATGCCACCGCTCTGCTCAAATAGATTCCTGAATTCAGATATACTGCTGAGACTACCTGTCACCAATCATCCCTAAGGTCCTAGCAGACTTCTTTAAATCTCTAAAACTTGCTTTCGCCTCCTGAGCCCTGGGATTACGGTATGTGCCACTGCACCCAGCACAAATTTGTTATTTGTTTAGAATCACTGCTACATGTACTACTTTTGACTGTTTTCTTGCTAACTTAAGGTCTGTGTTGTTTTGGGGCCAGGCATGTAGCTCAGTGGTAAAGTGCTGGCCTGGAATGCTTGGGGCCTGAGCTCAGTCTCCAGCACCACCAAAAACAAAAACAAAAAGGAAGCATTGTGTTGGCTATTGACATTTGTCTCCCAGTGCACATTTTGGGAGTTCTATTCTGCTGTGCTCTGGCCAACTTGCAGAGAGCTCACGGCTGCAAGATTCAGCTGCACAAGTTTTTCTCATGAGTAATCCTTTCTCGCTTCCAAAAGTGACTACTGTGTAAAGAGGAAACAGAAATGCAATCCAGTCCTTCACTAATGCTTTCAAACATGGACTTAAGGATTCTTCAGTGAGCCCTGACTTGTCTTGTACTCACCAGGACAACAATCCCTGCGATGATTGCCAGCGTCACCACCACAATGACAGCAATGATACCAGCTGTGAGGCCCTGCATTGAGAACTCAGGTGCCTTTTCATCTACATAGTAAATCAGAGTCTGACTGGGGTCCAGATCAAGTTGTTCTCCATTTATTCTCAGGTCCATTTTTTTAGAAGAATGGAACAAGGATTCTCCTTTCACCTACAAAGGAGAAAAACAATGGAAACAGTTTAAGACAGTCAGCCGAGGACACCAATAATCACATACCAACTGTATGCCAGAAGAAAACCTGCCAGACTGTTTCAATTATAACAATCTGATCCAGTAAACTTTAAAGCACTACCTATTACAGAAAAATGCCATACACAAAAGAAGAGAAGCCATGTACCTACCCTCCATATTAAAAAATAACACACAACCAATTTTGTTTCATCATTCTTCTACCCCTTTATCTCCCATGCCCAAAGTATTCTAAAGTAAATCTCAGAAGAAACATCTCACTATAATAAACTCATGTTTAGCCAGGTACGGTGTACAGCTATGTCCTAGAAGGCAGAAGCAGGAGGCCTGCCCTCTACCATGAATTCTAGGTCAACCTGGGCTACTGTATGATTGTCTCAAAACAAAGAGGAATAATGATAATAAGGAACAAACAATAAACAAAAATATGCTTATATAAAAAGTTGGCCTTGAACTCAGTCCTCCCACCTGGGAGTGCTAAGATTAAAGTGTTCTGGCACTTACATAAATGTTATAAAAATGGAGACTGACTTGACATCTCAGCAAGTTAACAGCATTTAAGAGGACTTGAGTTTTGTCCAAGAACCCACATTAGACAGCTCACAACTAACTGTAATCCAGGTACAGAGGATCCAATCGGCCTCTGGTCTCTGAAGGCACTTGCACTAACTAACATGCACACAGATACACAAACACACACACAGCTCTACACAGAATTTAAAAATTAGTCTCTAAAATGGAGACTGACTCCTACTCATAGATATTATTAGAATACTGGATAGAGGATATTTATACCAAGGTAGTAATTAACCAAAGTGAAAATAAGAATTGTAAGAAAAGAGAAGGCTAGCTGTAATAGCTTAAGAGTAGACTGTCTTCCCAGCATACCGGAATACATACTGGGTTCAATTCCTAACACAGCAAAGATTAAAATAGAAGAACTGGAGGGGCCTAGAGACTGGCAGGATGCTTACCTAGCATGTACAGGGTCCTGGGTTCAGTCCTTACAATGACATGAACTAGTCACAGTGACACACACTTGTAATCTAGCACTTGAGACTATTACATCACAGACCCCCCAGCTGCCCCTCCTTCCCCTAAGATAGCAGGCCAAGCATTTCTTAGCAGCTTTGGTTTCTATATTGGCTGCTAACAGGATTTGTGCTTCCTCATCTCTCTGCTCCTAACAAACAATGCTGATGCCTGAATACCCTCTCAACTTGCTTTGAGCTATGGCCAGGCTTCCCAGCCCCTGAGAAAGCTACAAAGAAAGGGTTTTCTCTGGCTCTCTCACTCATGAGTTGGCCTGCTCCCTACCTCCCTTTTAAGTCCCCTGACATGCAATTTTTCTATGCTTTAGGTTTATTTTTATTCTGTGTGTCGTCCCCCACCCAAGACAGGGCTTCTCTGTGTGTAGCCTTGGCTATCCTGGACTTGCTCTGTAGACCAGGCTGGCTTCAAACTCACAGAGATCCGCCTGCCTCTGCCTCCCAAGTGCTGGGATCAAAGGTGTGCACTACCATCCCCTGGCATATTTTTATTGTTCTTAATTTAATTTCAGTTGACAGCTGCCTCCTTGGCTTGCTGGGGATCAAATGGAGGTCCTCTGGAAGAACAGTATCCGCCCTTAACTCTGCTAAGCCAGCTCTCCAGCCCCACGTTACAGTTAATGTTTTTACAAAGTATATATATACACCATGGCCTCTGGAATGCTGCACTGTCCCTCATAAAGCTCTTTTAACTCATGGCCCTAGGACTGCATAGCCTTCCCTCCTTATAAAGCTCATCTTTGGAAGGGTAATTTCACATCATCTCCTTTTCCAAACTACTACTTTCTCTTTCTGTAAATAGGGTGCAGTACTTGGGAGATGGAAGCAGGAAGATCAGGAGTCAAAGACCACCCGATTGTACAAGAGCCCTTCTCAAAAAGGAACAAACCATGGGCAAGATGACACATCTTTAACCCCAGAACTCGGGAAGCAGAGATAAGCAGATCTCTGTGACTTCAGGAAGACCCTAGTCTATATATATCCTGAGTGCCAGGACAGCCGGGGATATTATTGAGATCCTGTCACAAACAAACAAACAAACAAACAAACAAACAAACAACAACAACAAAAGTATTAAGCTTAAAAAATTATGACTTATACTTACATCTTTTTCAAAATAATAAGCCACATCAGCTATGTCCACATCATCTTGAGTTTTCTGAGAAGAGTTTTGCATCAGATCAATAGTGATAACATTATTCTCATACTGGGAAGGAAAGTGAAAATACAAATTAATATAATTAAAATACATGAACATTTTGATTAACAGTCAGAATATTTATAATTTTGTTTTCTGTAATCTACACCCACCAGGAGCTCTTTCCATTAGTGAATTATTTATCACCAGTAATTGAAACATCTCTGAGAGGTCTTTCTCTAAGAGAATAAAATAACAATGCAAACAACTACTTTTTTCTAAGAGTTAAGGAAAGGGCTACCTAGGGATGATGGTTCTATCTACTAGAAAATGACCTGAAGGGGCTGGAGAGATGGCTCAGAGGTTAAGAGCACTAGCCACTCTTCCAGAGGTCATGAGTTCAATTCCCAGCAACCATCTATAATGAAATCTGATACCCTTTTCTGGCGTGCAGGTGTACAGGCAAAACACAAGACTGCATACATAATAAATAAATTAAAAAAAAAAGAACGACCTAGAATCACTTAGGAGTCTCAGTGAGGGACTATCTAGATTGGGTTGACGTGGGCAAGTCTGTGGAGATTATTACGTTAATTGAGAGGGGCCACACTGATTATGGGCTGCATCATTTCATAGGCTGGGGCCTGAATGAAGAAAAAGAAAGCTGTGCATTGCCTATGTGTACTCGGATCTTGACTGTGGATGTGGCTAGCTGCTTTAATGGCCATCACACAGTGAACATCACACAACAGACATCACACATTAAGTTCCTGCTGCAGTGACCTCCCACAATGAGACTCTAATCTGCAACTGTGAGCTAAAATAAGCCCTTTGGGGGCTGAAGACACGGCTCAGCAGTTAATAGCACTTGTTGCTCTTGCAGAGGACAGGGTTCAATTCCTAGCTGCTAACCACCTGTAACACCACCTCCAGGGGGGCAGTGCCCTTTTCTGGACTCCCAGGTGCCAGGCAAACAGCACGTGCTGCACACATACCCATGCAGGCAAAGCACTCAGAGAGGTCTAACAAACTTAATAAACCCTTTCTCCCCTACCCTCCTTTCTTCAGGGCAACAGGAAAGGACACCAAGATGCTGGGCAAGGATATGCTGAAGGCAGTCACAGAGAGGCCCCACAAGGCAAGCGCAGCATGCTTCAGGCATAAGAGATACTACCCACCCTCCAGACACCCTTAAGGGCAAACTGGGGCTTCCAAAATTGATGGAAGGAAAACTACCTGGATTCTAACTGTTAATAAAATTCATTTAGCTAGCGTTATAAATCACTGGCTGTCACCTGGGCAGCGGTGCTGCCTTTAGTCCCAGCACTGGGAGGCAGAGGCAGGTGGATCTGAGTTCCAGGCCAGCCTGGTCTACGAGTGAGTTCCAGGACATCCAGGCCTACACAGAGAAACCCTGTCTGAAGAGGACAGGAATCACTGACTGTCATTTATATCCAAACCATACTTCCCTAATCAACTTGCTGCTAAAGCTAGCTCATTTACAAAAAAAAAGAAAAAAAAAAAAGAAAAAAAAAACTTACCAGAATATTTTTGATAAATTTCGAACTCAGTTTGTATCGAGATGTGAATGCCTCCTGAAATGCACTGCAAATAATTTACAAGTGTTGTTTAAAAAAAAAAATTGTACCACACAATAATAGAATCTCTACTTTTTAAACAGATAGCTCACGGACTATAACTATTATGTATCTTATAATTATTTGTTACAATTATTATTGCTATTGTTTGTTTGTTTTTAAAGAGAGGGCCTCACTAGGTAGCCCTAGCTGACCTGGAATTTGGTATGGAATGGTAGCACGACTCTATAATTTTAATGTCATTTTACAACTATAATGGCAAGTGGTTCAAGCCTGCATCAGCTGCTAATCCTAGAGCTGTTGAGTGTTGGTCTGATTAGAAGCAGAACATTGACACAGTACCCACGTATCTGCCAACAGATTATTCATAAATTCCAGAAGAGAAAATGACTGCCCAATGGAGAAACCTGTCAGGTGTGGCTTATAAAGGGACAAAGGACTTCATGACCTTCCTATGTGAGCACGGGGCAAGACACAAGATCACTTATGTAGGCTTCCTGCCAAGGTGCATAAATACAAGAGTATGTATATAATCGATCACACTTACGTCTGCAAACTCTGAAGGTCGTAAGGGTTTTCTCTTTCTTTGTGTTTTAGTTCAATGATGATCCAACTGTAAGACAAAATGAAGTCAACTGTGTATAACTCAGTCTTTTATGCTGTTTTCCAAAGAGGCAAATATTCAAATTCCAAAATAGAATGAGAGCTAACAGGATGTATAAGGGTGGTAAATATGCCTCACATATCCTTCACAGAAAACCCACCAGAGGTAACACCGCTTCTGACATTGACCTGCTGGTGACAGCTACAACACACAAGGCCGGCTAAAGTCAAGGTTGAGTTGGCCATGCTGCGCCCCGTTCCGGAGGGCATGGTGGAGCAAACCTGCCCTGCAGGGGCAGAGGCAGGAGAAGGCCTGGCTTCAAGCCAAGCCAGGATTCTAGCATGAAACCATGTCGGAAAGAGAGGAGAGAGGGGGCGAGAGAGAGAGAAAGCACAGAAACAGACCAGGCCTGACACCTCTCCAGTTTCTTGTAGATTCCAACAGTCTTTTTTGCTTGAGTGGGCTTGTTTGTTGTCAGTAATCTCTCTCCCACCCTCCTCCACCATGCCAGAATGAACCCCAGCTTTTCTACCACTTATGTCTCCAGCACAAATAGCTCATTCTTAAAACCCAATAAATTATCAAATACAGTTTAAGACACTCATTTTCACTTAACTCTAATCCAGCTTCGAAATGGGGAACAGTGGTTAGTCGATGATGAAGGGAAATGCTGTCTAGTGAAGCACCATTTCTGTAAAACCCAAGAACCACCCCTCTACACAGGAAATTCATAAACCAGATCTGGAGATGTAATGCCACAGGGAAAACGTTTTAATTTAACACACAATCCCAGGCCAAAGATTATTTCATGTTCCTTCCGTTTCCCCACACTTTGTTACTTGTGGAGGAAAAAAAGCTTCAGGAGTAGATAATTTCCACAAAACACAGTTGGATTACAGCCAATAAAACTAACATAATTGGATCAGAACAAATAAAACTTAACTCAAAACTGGTGACACCAGTTTTATGAGGCATGGGCACAGGAGTGCACTTAGCACTCCATACCCTTTTCCTGTCTTTTTGTCTTGCTTGAAAGAGGATCTTGCGGGGTGTGGTGGCACACACACCCCAGGAGGCAGAGGCAGGTGGATCACTGAGACCAGCCTGGTCTCAAACTCACTATGTAGACAAAGCTATCCCTGACCTCCTCCTGTCTGCACCTCCAGAGTGCAAGATTCACAGTGTGCACCACCATGCCCAGCTTCTCCTAGTTTTTGAATTCCAAACCACCAATTCTTATTGCATAAGCAAAACTAAAATTAAACAGATGTGAACATCAGGAAAGCAACTGGCGGGCAGCTCACTCACTAGGTCCTCACTCGCTCAGAGCACGTGATTTCCGTGTCTTTGTCTGTCCGTCGGACGCCTGCAGTGTTCACACACCAGCACGTGGCTGTGCCGTTGCACTGCTTGGCTTTGAAGAGCCCTTGCTCATCACACTCAGGATCATACAGCCCATCATTGTTCTGGATTGCCCCATCCGGTTTCAGCCTCCTCCCAGACTTGCTGTGAGTCATTTCCGCCTTCATCACCAAACATTTGGATGCCACTGAAAGGAAAACGTAATGCCAAACTGAAAAATAACAACTGGTTCACGTGCACAGGGGAAAACCTTTTAATCTAACGTCATCCCAGGTCAAGGATTATTTCATGTTCCCTTCCATTTTCCTACACTTAATTACTTGCTGAAGAAACTTGAGCTGTCAGATAATTTTTACAAAATAACACAGATTAGAGCCATTAAAACTCAACTCAAGGTGCCTCAATTTAAAAAGTATCAAGATTAAATTTCCAGGCAGTAAGACTCTTCTACTTACGTTTGGAGCACAGGACAGTATTTTGTGTACCATAGGAAGTACACTGGCATTCACCATTCTCATTCAAAGAGCAGCTCGTTGCCAGCTTGTAGTTGTCACAGACACAGTCTAGAAAAGTTTTAAAAAGGGAAAAATTAGTTTAAAATGTAGTTACAACTGTCAGCTCATTCTGCCAATCATGCCTTTAAGAAGTGGGCTGGCTTGATGGCAGAAGTTTTTAGTTAGTGCCAGCACTCGGGAGGCCAAGGCAGGCATATCTCTAAGTTCGAGGCCAGCCTGGTCTACACAGTGAGTTCCAGGATAGCTAGCACTACACAGAGAAACCCTGTCTCAAAAAACAAAACAAACAAACAAAAAAACTCAAAAAATACCGGGGTGTAATGGTTTCATGCCTTTAATCTCAGCCCTTGAGAGGCAGACAGGGAGATTTCTTTGAGTTCAGAGCCAGCCTAGTCTCCACAGTGAGATCCAGAACAGCCAGGACTGTGTAGGTAAGAGACCCTGTCTCTAAAATAAAATAATTAAAATAAATAGATGAGAGGCAGGCACTCAGGAGGCAGAGGCAGGGGGGGAGTGAGTTTGAGGCCAGCCTGGTCTACAAAACAGTCCAGGATAGCCAGGACCACAAAGAGGAAACCCTCCCTGTCTCAAAAAACAGATAGATGACAGACAGACAAATAGATATAAATAAACAAATAAATAAATAAATGTTAAGGGTAAAATTTTTAAAAATCAAACAAAAAATGTAGCCCTGAATGTAAAAATATAAGTGTGAATGTCTCACACTTGCCAGTTTGTAACATTATAAAGTCTAATTAATGAGTTGCCACTTCCAATCTTCGTGTGTTGTTCATTTTCAGGGGAGAACTTCGTTTTAGGCAGAGTGAATTAAGCTCTGAATTAACAAAATGTAACCAAGAACTCCCCACAGTGGGAGGGGCTCCAAGGGAAGAATCCTTTGGGGTTTTCCTCACAGTGCTAAGGATAGAGCGCAGGGCTGTACTCAGGCTAGCTTGGCCCCTCCCAAGGAGCTACACCTTTGGCCCGTACTTATTTACTAGGGAGCAGGGGCACTGGCTGGTAGGCTAGAGCTCAGAGGATAAACCTGTAGGGTTCTTGCCCTCTTCCCACTGCACGGGATTAAACTCTGGTCATCTGGCTGACTGACAAGTACATTTCCTCACTGAGCCATTTCACCGACCCAAACTGGAGGATTCTCTGCCTTCAGCCTCCTGAGTGCTGAGGTGTTGATTCCTACCCATGGGCAACTGTGTAACTGTTGCTGGTTTTGCTTTTAATTTTATTTATCTGTTATTTCCTTTTGAGCAGGGTCTTGCTGTAAGCCAGCTTAGCCTCTGGCTGGCCTGGAACTTTATGTGTAGTAGACCGGGTCTTCTTCAACCAGAGATGTACCTGCCAGGTGCTGAGCAGGAGCGCTGGGACTAAAGGCTTGCACCACTAGCCTAGCCCAGAAACAAAGTTTTAAATACAGCCCTCTAAAGACCTTATCAGCCTTGCCTCTGGGCTGCTAGGCTTTGTTGCTGGTTTGTTTGTTTGTTTGTTTGTTTTTTTAAGCTAACTTCCTGCATTTATCTATACATTTTGTGGATGCACACATGCATACACAGTGGCCAACGTTCAAATGTGGAAGTCAGACACCGACCTGGGGAATCCACTCTCCCCTTCTACCTTCGGCTCTTGGGAATTAATGCAGGAGTAACTTTACCCATTGAGCCATTAATGTCCCTGTCATGAAATAATTTTTTCCCTTCCTTCTTCCCTCAGTTTCTTCCTCTCCCTCCTTCCCTTCTCCCCTTTCTGGAAGAATCTTATTTTACAGCGTGTCTCTATTGCCCTTCTGCCTCAACTTCCTAAGTGCCGGGCTTGCAGATTGGGGCTGCCACACCTGGCTGCTCCTCTCGCTCTCCGGTGTCTCCCTCCTTTCCTCCTGTTACACACTTGTCTGCTAGTCATTTTATCTTTCCCCCAAAAAGTCAACAACTCCAGTTCTACAATTTATAGATCCTCCCTTTGCCCAGTTTTCCTAAAGATTGGCTGCCTTGCAAGGGCCCAATAAGTATCTATTTAATCTTCTCATTAACCAGGGTTTCCTTTAGCCCAGGCTGGCCTCCATTGCCACACCAGGCTGAAGATGACCTTGAATTCCACTTCCTACTGCTGGGGTTGGTTTATGGGGTGCTGGGGAACCAAGCCTAGGGTTTAATAGGCAAGCACTCTACAGCCCTCCATCTACGATTTAGCCCAGGACTGAGGTAAGGAAAGAAAAATATAAATCGATTAAACTGCATTACTTACAGCATAATTAATTAATACAGGCCAAGTCTGCTACTAGAGAATGAAATCCTTCCCAGAAAACAAAATCTAAGTTACACTTAACTTAAAAATTGAAGAAACAAAAAGAAAGAAAATTCTTTCCGGAGTGCTTCGTTCAATTCTCTCCACTTTCAGACACCATCTTAGAAATAAATCAAAAGTCACAGCAAACTCTATAGTAACTAGGATCCAACTCCATGTCCTTCTCTCTACAGAGGGTACAGATCACTGTTTAAGTATGGTTTTCTTAAAGACAGAAACTAGGGCGACCCGGTGGCTCCGGAGAGAAAAGGCCTGGGACCACCTGAGTTTTATTCTCAGGATCGACATGGTGGAAGAACTGACTTGTGTAAACCACAAGCAAATAATTTTAAAACTAAAAGCCCAAAAGAAGTAGAACACTTCCTTTATGAATGTTGGAAAGTTCACTAAATAAATCTACCTGTATCCAGAAAACACAAATATGCACAAATTTTAATCAAAGAATTCTCAGAGTGTAAAGATTACGCGACTATTTTAGAAAGGTCCTTACAGTTTATCTTTGTATCTGTCCTCCCTACAATAAACACGGCATTAGTCATGATTCTTAGAAAAGAGCAAACACACCTCCGGCCTGTTGGTCCCAGAAGGCCGGCCTCCGACGCGCAGGTGCATAGCGGCCTCTGGGGAGCTACCTGTCTCCTCCCGGAGCCCACATCCGGGGACCGTCGCAGGTACGGAGGAAGGGGGGCAGGTCGCGGCGACAAAGGCCCGCGCTTTGGAACTTGGAACCCCAAGCCGGAGCCGCTAGAACGCGGGCGGTGGCCGCCCCGTCTCCCTGCCCCGCGCCCCCGGCAGGCACACCACACCGCCGCCTCATCCCGGCACACGCGCGGCCCGCACCATCGGGTCTCGGGACCAGAAAGCGGAACCTCGCCGTCCCCCGCCCGACGCGACCTACACCTCCGCCCCAGGAGCGCGCCTCACCTTTCTGAGCCGCTGCCGGCGTCGCCGCGATCGCCGCGAGCAGGAGCCCGAACGCGAGGGCCTGGGGGCGCGCCATGCTACGCGCGGAGCGGCGGGGACGGCTCCGGGGACGGACGCGCAGCGCAGTGACCGAGGGGCCGAGCGCTCTGGGCGCGCAGCGAGGCGGGAGCGGACCTGCAGACCTGCCGCCCGGCGGCCACGCCCCTCGGAGGCCACGCCCCGGCCCTCGCGCGCCCCGCTGCCCGCCCCCTCTCTAGGTGTGCACTTCCCGGGGGCCCCAGCTCCGGGGACTGGACTCGGTGTCGCCGACGTGAGCACGAGCCTGGACGAGAAAGCCCGAGGAGATCCCAAGTTAAACCGAGAACCTCATGGACCAAAGACGGGGCAGACACTGTGCCATATGCCTGGCAGGGTGCTTTCCAGTACTTTCTCAAACTTTTTAAGGTTATTTTTGTGTGTACGAATGTTGCGCCTGCAGGTGTGTGCACCACGCGCGTGCCTGTGCCCGCGGAACTGGGGTTCCGGGGGGCTGCGAGCCGCCGTGTGAGGGCTGGGAATGGAACCGGGTCGTCGGCTGGAGCGGTGGGTCTCCACCTTCCCAGCGCTGCGACCCTTTAATACAGTTCCTCGCATTGTGGTGACGCCACCCCGCAACCATAAAGTTATTTTCGCAGCTAGTTAGTAACTGCAGTGAATCGTAATATAAACGTTTTCCCATGTTCGTAGGTGACCCAAAGGGGTCGCGCCTCAGAGGTTGAGAACCACAGCTAGAGAAACAAGCGCTCTGAACCGCTCAGCCATCTCTTCGGCCCCACCGTTTTTTGAAACTAAAGGACTTGTTTTTATTACCATATATTTTAATTATTTCTTTAACCTTCGAGACTATGATGGAGTTACATCACCCCCCTTCCTTCTCATAAACCCTACCCTATATCCCTCCCCCTGCCCTCTTTCAGATTCATGGGGCTCCTGACTCATATATTAAAAAACGGTGTTGATAAGACCGGGCTTGGTATTGCACGTCATTAATCCTAGCACTTAACGGAGGCGAAGAAGGCAGGCCTTTATGAGTTCGAGGCCAGCTTGACCTAAAAAGAGAGTTCCAGGAAGTACAGCCGGAACTGCACAGAGAAACCCTGACTCAAAAAAAAGGCAGGAAAAATCCTCAAGGGAAACATCAAGCAACAGGAGACCATCTCAGGCACAACACAGAATCAGCCAGGAAAAAACCGCTTATTAAAGCAGGTGAGGAAACACAGTAAACACACAAAAAGAACCTCTGTAAAGCAGAGAACTGGAGAGCACAAAGTCCTGCTTTCTCTTCCAGGGCTGGCTTTTATAGATATTTGTGTATGGGGAGAGGAGGGGCGGGAAGGAACAGGGGAAGATCTTCATCCCCTAATTTGGGTTGGTCAGTTTGAACAAAGACGGAGAGACTGATAGGCCCGGAACATTGAGGTAAACCGTCCTGATCCAGTCTTGAACTTGTCAGACCGGTCCAGCGGCCGGGGGGCCCTCCTGGCGGGAGAAAAGGCAGGCCAGGCCTCTCGCAGCAGACAGGCTTTTGTCTCAAGCCAGAAAGGTGATGGAGAAGCTGCATGTTTGCTGTCCTCACTAGCTTTTTGTGGCCCTCTCCCTAAAAGTCTGCCTGTCAGGCATATCCTAGCCTCTAGTTCCTCACTGTGAACCTGATGGCCTAAATTCAGTCCCTGGGATCCACAGGGTAGAAGGAGCGAGCCAACCCCTTAATTAACCCCTAGTTAATCCTCTGACCTCCATTCTCACGAAGTGGCATGACACGCCTCACTAAAATGAAAAAAAAAAAAAGGAAAAAAAAGGTTTTTAAAGAAAACTTTCAGCTAGCTATAGCTATATAGAGCATGAATAGAATTTTGGATACAGTATTCTTTACAGCATTTCAAGAATAGCCTGTAACTCCACTATTCTAGTCTCTAAATCAACTTGCAACCCAGAAAAGGCTGTGCACATTTCCAGCCCTCAGGGGATCCCGATCAGTTAGAAGAGTGTTTGTTGAACAAGCTTAAGAACCTGGGTTTGAAAAACTCCAGCATTTCATAAACTGGGCTTGGTGGCTCAGGCCTATATTACCAGCACTGGGAAGGTATAGACAATCAGAAGTTCAAGGCCATCCTCAGCTAGTGGTTGGGATCCAGCCTGGGCTATCTTGAGACACTGTCCCAAAAGACAAAATAGGAACAGTGCACACCTTTAATCCAAGGGCTCAGCAGGCAGAGGCCAGTGAAGATCTGAATGTGAGGCCAGCCTGGTCTACATATTGTGCTCCAGGACAGCCTGGACTCCATAGAGAGACCCTGCCTCGAAAACAGACAAGCTAGGAGGAGTCTCTTATGCAAGAGTAGACAGCCGCTGAGGCAGCTGCCCTTGCTGGAACAGTTATGTGCAGACTTCTCTATTTCATCACTGGTATGTGAGAAAGATCAAGTGGGTGACTGCTTGCTTTTTTTTTTTTAAGAGTATTTTTAAAAAATATTTTATATGTATGGATGTATTGCCCACATGTATGTCTGTGTATTGCATGCATGCAGTGCCCACACAAGCAAAAATAGAGTATTGATGCTCTGGAACTGGACTAGTGGGTGCCAGGAACTGAACCCCCATCTTCTGGAAGAGTAGGGAGGGCTCTTAACCACTGAGCCATCTCGCTAGCCGCAGTGCCTTTCTAGCATCTTTGCAGCCCTCCTCCCCTTTCTCCCAGGCTGGGATACAGTCATGTGCCATGACACTTTGCATGATCCTTTTTATATTAACGTATTTTTACAGCTGAGAAAATGGTGTGAGCATGGGGAAGAATGGACTTGTTACGTAGCCGTAGCCGGAAGAGATACAAATACAGCCTTGAAAGTTTCCCCATTGAGTTATCAATACCAAGACATTAGCATTGGTTCAGTCTGACTTACTAAACTACAGCTTTTATTTAGAACTCCCCAGTGTTCTGTTTTGCTTTGAACTATTGTTTTGTTTGTTTGTTTGTTTTTCCCCTCTCCCTGTGTCGGGGTAGAAATAAAGGCCTATTTAAGGGAAACTTCTAATCAAGAGAATGAGTGGCCTGGGACGGGTCAATCACATGGCTAACGGATCCCCTTAGGAAGGTGGTTCACCTTAGGCCTCGTTAAGCAGGGAGATGGAATAATTAGTCCTGTAATGAGATGTGCTTTTCCTTCCCAGAATTTCCTCTCCTAGGGCAGTCCAAACTAGCTGAGCAGCCAAGAAGTTTTTCCTTTCTCTTCTTTCTGTCTTCCTTTCTGGTGCCGGCACCAGAACTATGTTTTTCATGATACTTGGGGTTTCCTTATTCTGTCTCTGAAGTCCCCTCCCACCTTGTGGCTCCTGCTACCATGGAGCTGGCTTCTCCACTGGCCTGACTCCAGAGGCATAGCTTTTTCTACTCTTCTCTCTCTGTGACTTTGAGGCCAGCCTGGTCTACAAAGTGAGTTCCAGGACACCCAGGGCTACACAGAGAAATCCTGTCTTGAAAACCAAAACCGGACAGACAAAAAAAGCAAAACAAAAAGCATGAACCACCATGACCCTTCCTGCGGCTGGAGAGTAGGCGAATGGTTTTGCACATGCTAGGCAGTTTCTCTACTTATGTATTAGTTGTTGTATCACCGTCATCTCCAATCCACGGGCTCAGTTTTTTTCCTATCCTTTCCTGATCTTGACATTTTTGAACAGTGCTGGTCAGGCGTCTTAGACACTTCCTCAGCTGAGGTCTGTCTCCTGTTTTCCCATAAGTGGGTTGACGTAATGGGTTGTGGGGGATGCCACGAAGGTGTTATGCCCATATCAGCAGGCGTGTGATATCATTACAGTTTATTACTGCTGATGTTAACCTCCATCATGATGTGGAATCAATATTAGACTCTAGAGGGCTTCTCTACCCCAGCTCATTCCCAAATGATCGAGACAGAGACTTCTTACTTATAAAAGCTTTAGAGCACAATAACTGGGCAGATTCAACCCTCCAGGCTATTTTGCTATTTCCCAGTTACACGGCCCAAGTTACTCGCCATGATTGTTCCTGCCTGGGCTGCTTCTGTGCCATCAGGCCAGCCTTCATGGTCCATACTGCCCCATGGCAACTTCCTTCTCTCCGGCTTCTCTCTCCCTCCTCCTAGCCTCAAGGTCCTTCTGAAACCCCAAGCTTCTCCCCCCATACACTTCAGTAGAAGTGAGTGCCTCATATACTATGGTTTCTCTTCAGAGCATATAAATCTTTCATCTTTTACTAAAGATTTCTGTGAACAGCATCAATTCCCAATCTTAACCCAATGTTCTGAGGTCTTGAAATAGACCTAAAATCTCTGCACAGATGTAGCCCATGGCAGCTCAGTCTCCAAGTGGCTTCCCTAGTGAGAACAGGGGCTGTCTTTAACACGAACTCAGCTCCTCCTGATGGGAAGCAGCCTTAGCAGGCCACAGAGGAAGACAGTGCAGCCAGTCCTGATGAGACCTGATTGACTAGGGTCAGTTGGAAAGGAGTAGGACCGCCCCTATCAGTGGACTGGGGAAGGGGCTTGGGAGGAGAAGAGGGAGGGAGGATGGGATTGGGAAGGGATGAGAGAGGAGGCCACAGCTGGGATACAAAGTGAAAAATTGTAATAAATTTTAAAAGTTAAGAAAAAAAGGAAAAAAGAGAAAGGAAGAGAAGAAGAAAGGTTAGGGACTGAGAGTGTGGCCCACTGGTCTAAGGCACGCGCAAGGTTTTGTTTTGTTTATTTTTCCCAGCAACACACACACACACACACACACACACACACACACAATGAGTCACCAAGTGTAGCCTGAGGGGAGGAAAATTAAACAACATCTGTTGAAGCGAGAGGTATTTAAAAATTTGTAGCCAGGCGGTGGCGGTGCACTCTTTTAATCCCAGCACTTGGGAGACAGAGGCAGGTGGATCTCTATGAGTTCAAGACCAGCCTGGTCTACAAAGGGAGTCCAGGATAGCCAAGTCTACACAGAGAAACCCTGTCTCAATAAATAAATAAATAAATAAATAAATAAATAAATAAATAAATAAATTGTGATGGAGACTGGGGAGATAGCTGAGTTGGTGAAGTGTTTGCCACGCTTTACTTCCATCCCAGCACACATAAAGCCAGATGTGGAAGTATACACTTGGAATCCCAGCACTACACAGCAGCAGACACAGTAAAAGCCCTGCACTCTCTGGCTAGCCGACCTGGCTAACTGGCTAACAGGTCCTCATCAGACACTCTGTCTTAAAAAAACAAACAAACAAAACAAAACAAAACAAACAGGACAGAAACTAGAGCCGTTAAGAGTGCTTACGCTCAGCCTGGGTGTGGCTCCCATCAGCCATTTCAGCACTGGGAACTGCCTGTAAACCCAGTATCACGGAATGACACATCTTACAAAAACTCATTTAGCATACATACATACATACATACATACATACATACATGCATACATATATACCACACATACATACAAAGAAAAAATAAAGAAATAAGCTGCTGTGGTACATTCCTTTAATCACAACACTTGGGAGATAGAGGTGGGAGGATCTGAGGCCAGCCTAGTCTGTACAGCGAGTTCCAGGCCATGCTGGACTACACAGTGAGACCCTGTCTCAAAACAAATAAGGCAAGAAATAGATAGATAGATAGATAGATAGATAGATAGATAGATAGATAGATAGGTGAATTAAAACAAGAAGATGGTACCTGAAGAGAAATGATACTCAAGGTTGTCCTTCTGCCTGCACATATGTGCACCCTGCCACACACAAAGAACTGTATATGTTAAAACCACCAGAGTTACAAACACCCTTCAGATCTTTCTTTTTTAAGATTTATTGTTATTTTATGTGTATTGAGTTTTACCTGCATATATATGCAAATGTACCAGTGAATGTAGTGTGCCCAGAGGCCAGAATAGACATTGGATTCCTTGGATCTAGGGTTCCTGATGGTTATAGCTGTTATGTGGTGCTGGGAATCGAGCCCAGCTCCTCCACAAGAGCAGCTGAGGCTCTGAATCACTGAGCTATCTCACCAGCCCTCAGTGATGGAGATGTTTTGAGGCTAGTAGATAACCTGCTGTTCCTCAAAGACTTGTAGCACGGAAGGCGCAGGTGTGTGTGTCTGTGTGCGCAGTGTTCGCTGTAGAGTAGGTGTGTGCAGAGTTCACTGGAGAATGGAAGGCGAGTGGGAGGACGGTGCAGCAATGCCAGGCTCCGCAGTGTGCAGTGTTTGCTGGAGGTGCAGGGCTCTCACCTCCAGGGGAAAGCCATCATCTGCATTGCGCGGGTGACACTAACCGCTGCCCAGGTGCAGCCTGTGACTGTGGTGTCATCTGTGTCAGTGGGCCGATATGACAGAAAAGGAAGGAAAAGAGAGTTGAGGGAGGTTTTTGAAAAAGCAGGATGGAACGTTGGGTCTTAGCACATGGGCAGGGTTTGTAAGGAAGATACAAGAGGCGAACAGTTGTGAGAAGAGGCTGAAGAACAGTGACAGGGTTTTTTGATTTGTTTCACTGAATCAAGGTCTCACCCTGTAGCCCACGCTGAGCTGGAACTCACTATGGCCCCAGATGGAACCCTGCTGTCTCTGCCTCCAGTGCTGGGGTCTCAGGCGTTGGCCCCATCCCCTGCTCAGTGGGTACTTTTGAAAGATGAGCCAGAAGGATAGAAAGTGAGCTCAGGGGGCTGCAAAGGGATTTTGTGTCTGTATTTGATGGGGAAATTAAAGAAATATTTGGGAATAGCCAGCAGAAAGTTTTCTCCAGCTGGGTGGTCACACAATTATAATCCCAACATTTAGGCGGCTGAGGCAGGAGGACTGCCATGAGTTTAAGGCCAGCTTGGTCTACCTGGGAAGACCATATCTCAAAAGAAGGAAGAGGAGACAGAAGAGGATGGTGACAAAAAGGATAGATAGCTTCTGGCTTGTGACACCTGTGGTGTCAGAAAAAGGTAAAAACAGCTTCAAAGCACTTTCCTAACTTGGGTTAGGTAAGTATGGTGGTGCCAGATCCGGAGTTACCAAAGGCTCAGTGGAAATTTGGGAGGGGAGGAAAGAGGGTTTTGATGGGTTGGATTAGAAATGATTCTCAACCTGTTGTGGGTCACAACTCCTTTGGGAGGGGCCACCTTTTTATATCAGATATTTACAATTCATAACAGTAGCAAAATTAGAGTTATGAAGAAGCAAAGAAATAATTTTATGTTCACCATAACATGAGGAGCTGTATTAAAGGGTCGCAGCAGCCGGAAGGTTGAGAGCCACTGGGAGATAGAACTAGATTAGATATGCAATACTGGTATTGGCTAACTAGAGGACCCTCTGGAAGTGGCTAAAGCAAGAAGAAATTAGTGGATTAGTGTGAAGGGCTTTTGGAGGGAGATGGCAAATCTGCTTCAAATGGGGGAACTTTCAAAAGTTGGTCTGAAGTTTAGATGTTTATTCTCTGCTGCAGAGCACCATGCTGGTGGCATTTAAGAGGGGCAGAAGTGCTTTCTGGGAGCATAGTGTACATAGAGTACTGTGGGGGCGGCTGGTTAGGGCTTCACTTCAGCGAGGGCTAGAATGGTTGAGTCATGTCACTAAGAACAATTTATTAGAGCTGGGTGTAACTCACACCTGTGATCCCAGCACTCAGGAAGGCAGAGGCAGGCAGATCTCAGTGAGTTGAAGGCCAGCCTGGTCTATATATGAGTCCCAGAACAGCCAGGGCGACATAGTGAGACCCTGTTTTGAAAAAACAAACAAACAGAGGAACGATTTATTGAAGCCAGATGTGTCAGAGCAATCCTTTAAGCGTCTCTATACTTAAGAGGCAGAGACAGAGACAGGTGGATCTTTGAGTTTCAGGCCAGCCAGAGCTACATAGTAAGATCCTGTTTCAAAATAACAAAACAATTATTTATTGACCATTTATTCACTTGGTGTGTAATTTAACTCTTCAATACTGTAAAAAGGATTCAGTGTCAGCCTAACAAGAGGCTTAGTGGGGAGGGGGGGTGTTTTTGTACATTGTGTAAAGATTACCCCGTATATATTAAAATGCAGATATGATTCAGGCCTGACTTTGACATTGTCATTTTTTGTTTTGTTTTTTGTTTTTTTCAATACAGGGTTTCTCTGTGTAACCTTGGCTGTCCTGAACTCACTTTGTAGGTCAGGCTGGCCTTGAACTCATAGCAATCCACTTGCCTTTGTCTCCCTGAGTGCTGGGATTAAAGGCATGCACCACCACTCCTGGCTTCTCCACCATTTTTTGACTGGTCAAATAAAGAGCGTAACAGGCAATATCTGGGCAGGAGAGGATAAGGTGGGACTTCTGAGCCCAGTGAGAGGGTCTTAGGTGGGGATGAGAGGCGGGGAGGAGTCACAGATGAAGAAGCCGCCAGTGCGAGACTAAGGGCCACGTGGCTGGGAAGTAAGCCAGGCCACTGTTGGTGGGTTAGAATAGCTGAGTATCTGCCCAGATATACTGCCTGAAGCTTTTAATAAATGTAAAGGTCTCATTATTTAAAGCAAGGGAGAGCAGAGAAAAAGACTTGCATTTTACAAGGAGGATAATGAATCTGAGGCCTCCCTATGATTCCTAATTAAAAAAAAAAAAAAAAAAGTGGGGGAGAAAAAGGGAGAGGCTGGAACAACCTTTAAGAACTCTTGTTGCTCTTCCAGAGGATCCAAGTTCCTAAGGCCCACATGGTGGTTCACAACCATCTCTAACTTTGGTTCTAGGGGATCTGAACCAAAGAGGTACACACATGGGCCACATCCATACATGCAGGTGAAACACTCATACACATAAAATAAGCTTTAAGAAAAACAAACAAACAAACAAACAAACAAACAAGAGGTGGTCCTTTGAGCCAGAGACTGCTCTGACTTAGAGAGAAGGAAGTAAGAGTGTGGCAAACAGAAGTGGACCTTCACCTTTGCCTTATCGGGATCAGAGAGGGTGGGTCTTTATGAGGGCCATTTACAGTGTGTACCCTGGAGAGACCCGGAGCTCCTCAGTCATGGCGGCGTTCATGTTTAATGTCCTTGCTGCCATGCATATCTAGGTAACTACAAGGAAGTTGTCTCTCTCATAGCCAAGCAGCAACAAACAGCTGTCGCCATGGCTTCTTCTGAAGCTGGATGAGAGCTCATGTGCTGGCTGTTTGCTAGCCATGATAGAAGACAAGAAAGCTAGAACTCAGGGTTTGATGACTGTCCTTTCTGGAATGATCTGTGCCAACCCTTGAACTGTTCTTATGAATCAAGATGTGTGTAAAGAATAAACATCACAAGCTAAGTCCTCAGTGCTCTCAGGAGGC